GTACAAATATGATCTCTTCCAGTCGGTTGGCCAGGTAGCCGTCTTCCAGATTTCTTGGGATAGGTTAGTGATGCTTGCAGCGCTGCATCCATTTGTTGAAACATTTCAATTGGTACTCCATCAATTCCTGGAGCCTTGTTTTTTACCAGTGCAGCTTGAACCTCTCCCTTCAGTACCATTGAGTCTTGATCATACGCTACTTCCTGAAATGGTTGAACATGGACCAGTTGTTTTTGGTACAGTGACTGTGTATTCCTTCCATCTTCTTTTGATGCTTCCTGGGTCATTTAATATTCTTCCGTAGAATACTTCACTATTGCAACTTAAGGTTTGAATTTTTTCTTCAGTTCTTTCAGCTTGAGAAGTGCTGAACATGTTCTTACCTTTTAGTTTTCTATCTCCAGGTCTTTGGACATTTCATTATAATACTTTGTCTACTCGAGCAACCCTTTGAAATTTTCCGTTCAGCTCTTTTACGTCATCATTTCTTCTATTTGCTTTAGCTGCTGTATGTTCAAGGGCAACTTTTAAGAGTCTTTTCTGACATCCACTTTGGCCTTTTCTTTCTATCCTGTCTTGAATGACATCTTGCTTTCTTCATGTATGATGTCCTTGATGTCATTCCACAACTCATCTAGTGTTTGGTCATTATAGTGTTCAGTGCGTCAGATATGTTCTTGAGATGGTCTCTAAATTCAGGTTGGATAGACTCAAGGTCATACTTTGGCTCTTGTGGCCTTGTTCAAAGTTTCTTCAGCTGTAGAGGAACTCCATTTGCCAGTTCTGTCTTTTTGGTCCCCCTTATTTTCTTTTTGTGTCTTTCTGTTTTAAACATAGATCATGGGTCTTAGATTTCTGTCCTGCCACTGGATTGGCTTGCTTCTGATCTAGTCCGCTGGTGCCAGGGAATGGGGAAGAAGTGCTGCAAGCCACCTTTGCTCTCCCTGAGCTGGCCTGTGGTTAGGTAGAGAAAGAGGAGAGTTTAAGAATTTTGAACAAATGAATGCTTTGAAAATAAAGCTCTTTGTTGTTCTTGTCCTTGTTTCTCTTGCCAATTGCTTGTCCATTCTGTTTTCCTGTGTATTGTTCCATCAAAAATCAAGTTAGTCAAGGCAGCCTCTGGTCCTGATTTCTCATAGTTGCTTATTCTTAATGGTTTGCCTCTTCAGGTAGTAGCTGCTTTTATTGCTTTTGCTGCCAGAGCAGAAACATAAAGAGAGGTGGGTCAGTGCCATGCCTTTCCCCTGAAACACTTCCCACCTCCTCATCTCCCTTTTTCTCTCACTGCTGCTGGCCCTGATTTTCCTCTTCCATCCCACTCCCTGGTCAGGGCTAGCAGCAGATAAGAATTTCCATTGACTTTCCTCTTAAGAATGATAGGGACACAATAGATAGTACTTCTCTAGGAGGCTGCTGAGTTCACTGGTTCTTGAATGGGCTTAGTAAATATATCTAACTCACAATCACAGACCCTGAGGAGCTATCCATTTAGTGGGGAGGTAAGGCACAAATTTGAGAATGTATTTAGCAATACATTGAGTAAATGCTATGACCTGGATGAAGAGGTATCCTTGGCATGTCACACTGGGAGTCTTTATTCCCAGGTGGCTTTTTTATGCAGTGGTTACTTTTAAACTTAAAGACAGCTTGCATACTGGAAGGGGGGCGGGGGAGAGGGAAGATGGAAGAGCATCATTTTTCATTTCTTCAGACACAGTAGCAGTAGATGAGAAAGGTTGTGACTCATTATTACGTATACCTAGGTATACGTGTGGTTGTTTCTCTCTTTTTGTTAATCTCTAGCTGATAGGGCCACCTTTAATTCTGTGTCTTCACGAGCTTCAAGAAAATGCCCCGTATATATATTTTTTTTTTTTTACCAATGTATGCCACACCTCACACAGTACCTAACCTGTATAAGTAAATGTCCAGTAAATCGGAGGAAGGGATGTGTCTCTGCATAGCTACAGTTGCAGGATCTCCACAGCATCTGGAGCCTGGCCTGATAATTTGCTGTGCTCTGGGCTGTGCTTCTCAAACTACGGTGGAGGACAATGTCTTCTCCCCTGCCCTCGCTGATACTTTTGTAAAATATAATAAAAACTATTTAGTAGAAAAACAAAATAATAAAGTGTGAGCTTGTATATATATTATTTATTATTGTAGATTGAGAAGATACAAAATTACAGTCCAGTTGTTGTAAAAGCTTATAAGTGCTTACGTTATAGATTGACCCTGGTCTTTGGGCCATGCTTTGAACAGTATTGCTCTAAGGGGATTCTTCTGGCTATTGAATTGGTATACGTGGATAAAGAGGGATTCCCGTAGTAGGTGGACATGAAGAAATGGAGTAGGATTTGGAGAGTAAAAGAAGAGGAAGGGAAGGTATTTCATTTAGAATCCAGAGCTCCACTGAATTTCTGGATAAACCATAATCCACATATATTGACACTGTTTATGCTTTTGCACTGAAGAGTGATGTAGATAGTTTAGAAATGGCACATAAATACCATGGAAGGGGCAAGCTGGGAGCATTTGCCTGCAATGTCATACAAATTAATAAACCCCTGCCTCTTTTCAGAAATAGCTGTCAGCTTCCATATCATCAAAGCATATTTTGAGCACCATTGGGGTTCTATGTTAACCCTTCCTAGAATAGAAATACGATTAAAGATTAGCAACATTTTAATAAAATGGTATTAAAACTGGTAATTAAAGTTGTTGGGGGCAGGTTTTAGGGAGTGACATCCATTGTCTCACCAGTCACAGGGCTTTTTCATCATGGTAGTGTGGTTTCTGTTGGAACATTAAAATTAGGCTTCCAAAAGCAGTTAAAACATTATATTTTTGCAACGACCTGACACAGATGCTTTTAAATTATTAAAGGAAAACGAATAAAACAATGCATTCCAAAGACTTAAAAGAAAAAAAGGAGGGTAGATTGATCCTGTGGAAATCAAATAATAATGGGAGATGATAGCTTCTCTTAAATTTGAGAGCTCTGTTTGTGCACAACATTCATTTTATTGGGATTAGTTGCTTAAATAAGGGGGAATTGTTGAGAATATTAACAGGAACTTTCTCCCATTCACATTTGAGTGCTAATTTTGACCCAGGCGTTATATCAGGTATGACTACAACAATGAATAGGAAATAAAACATTTTCTGCCTCAAGGATCTCTCAGTCTAGTTGGGAGAGGTGATACAGCCAAATTATGTGAAAACGTGGTTAAGTACTATAGTGATGGTGGAAATTTAGTACTGTTTGAGTCCTGGGGTAAAACTGACTAGTTAACCTGGGAGAGAATGGGAAACCTTCATAGACAAAGGGACTTAGAGTTTATGACATTTAATTAGTTGTAGATTCAACAAAGGTGATGTGAGAATGGCCCCTGTGGGTGTCTGGTTATAAGAGATTTAGGTATTAAGAGAGAGGTTGAAGTACTTTCATAGATTTAGCATTCTGAAGGATCATCAAACACTATTCAAAAGATAGCAGTGAAGAAAAAAACTACTGTTTTTCCTGTAAAGAAAATGAGCATTTTATTTAGGATTGGATATTTAGAACAGAAAGCACCTGGTGGCACAAAGGATTAAGCGCTTGGCTGCTAACCGAAAGGTTGGTGGTTCAAATCTACCTAGCCACTAAAACCTGGCTATCTGCTCCCATAAAGATTATAGCCTAGAAAACCCTACAGGGCAGTTCTACTCTGTCACATGGGGTTGCTGTGGGTGGAAATTGACTCGATGGCGCCTAACAACAACAACAGCAATTTAGAACATGGAAAATTTAAATATCATGGTGTGATTTCTGGATTAAGCAGCAAACACTAACAGAAAACCTGTGAGGATTATTTCTAATTTAAATTGTTAATGGTTTAGATAAATGCCAAGCGTAAAATCTGGAAACAGTGATGGGATAAGGACTTTGAAATAGATTCTGAATGGAAACATAGTGTAAGAATCCCTCTAGCAGGGGTAGGAATGAAGGTATTGAAATAAAAACATTAAAAAGTTTGCTATGATGGGATTGGAGGCGTTTGTGGACGTTATAATGGAATTTGCAGTTAATAAGGAATCTTAACTGGTGAAGTCATAGAGAAGGCAGTAAATTGGATAACTTATATACAGAAAAACTAGAATGATAATTTGTTTATCACAATCATTTGTGGAAGTTTAAGAGGCAAAGCTTTGATTTTGGGGACCCAACTCAAGAGCACTAGGATTAATCAGGAGATAGCATATTCATTCAAGGGCCTGCATTTTAGTCAGTTCTTAGCTTAACCCTTCAAAATCAAGTGCTTCTGTTCTAACATCTGTCATTGTATACATTAAAGAGACCTGAGTCTTAAAAATTTCTAATCAATAATCCTTTGTGATTTTTACAGTCATTAAAGTACTTCTGTTTTGTTAACTATGCATACAAATTATTAAAAAGTGGTCTTGCTTTAGGAGCTTTGCCTCTTAAGTTCCTTTGAGAATTCTCATGCTAGAAATGCTAGGAATGAGTGTCAGTTCCTAATCAGAATGGTGACTTTAGTTTGGGCTCTAATGGAAGAGGTATCCATGGTGAAGGAGGACCAGGGAACTCTGGCAAATTGAATGGAAGTAGTGAAAGAACTAGTAACAAGTCCATCTGGTGGGATTACTTTCTCTTTAAAGGTACTTCTAGAGGTGGGGAGTGTAACACCCGAGGTTGTTTTCTGTTTCCTTTCTCCACCCTAAGCATGAAATAGTGGGTGAGCCAGGGGATCATGGTTTGTCCTTGAACAGATGTGATTAACGGAGGTGTAGAAAGGGTACCATTCAGGTTCTTGTCCCCTCACATTGATCCTCTGTCCTCTTTTGAGTATTTATGAATTTATTAAAGAAGTTAAAAAAAAAAAAATTCCAATTTTTTTTTTTTTCCCAGGAGGTAGTTGAGACCTTTTAAAGAAAAGAAAACTTCCTCTGGAAAGTGACATGAATATATAATAGAAGTTTCATTTTATCTCATGCAGCTCAAAGAAAATGAACGGCACCCTGGACCACCCCGACCAACCAGATCTTGATGCTATCAAGATGTTTGTTGGCCAGGTTCCGAGGACCTGGTCTGAGAAAGACTTGAGGGAACTCTTTGAACAGTATGGTGCTGTCTATGAAATCAACGTCCTAAGGGATAGGAGCCAAAACCCTCCTCAGAGCAAAGGTGAGGATTTTTGTTTTGTTTTTCTTTTCCCTTAGATGTACAATTTAGTAACATTGATTGCATTCTTCGAGTTGTGCAGCCATTCTCACCCTCCTTTTCTGAGTTGTTTCTCCCTCATTAACATCAACTCACTGTTCCCTAAAGTTCCTATCTAATCTTTCAAGTTTCTGTTGTCAATTTGTTCCCATGTAGATGGTTCTTAAAAGAGCATAATGCTCAAGACAGACCATTTTTACTAGTTGAGTTAAACTGTTGTTCGGTTTTAAGATGACTTCAGGGGATATTTTTGGTTTAAGATTTAAAGATTATCTTAGGATAATAGTTTTAGGGGTTCATCTGCCTTCCATGGCTCCAGAAAGTCTGGAGTCCATGAGAATTTGAAATTCTGTTGTGCATTTTCCCATTTTTGATCAAGATTCTTCTGTGGAATCTTTGATCAAAATGTTCAGTAATGATAGTGGGCATCATCCAGTTCTTCTGGTCTCATGGCAAAGGAGGCAGTTGTTCATAGAGGTAATCAGCCACACATTCCATGTCCTCATCCTATTCCTGACTCTTGAGGAGCCCTGATGGTGCAATGGTTAAAGCACTTGGCTGCTAACTGAAAGGTCAGTGGTTCAAACCCACCAGTCACTCTGCGGGAGATAGATGTGGCAATCTGCTTCTGTAAAGATTAACAGCCTTGGAAACCCTATGGGGCAGTTCTACTCTAACCTGTAGGGTTGCTATGAGTCTGAACTGACTTGACAGCAGTGGGTTTATTCCTGACTTTCCTTCTTCCTCTGTTGTTCCAGGTGAGTAGAGACCAATTATTACACCTTGACCACTTATAAGCTTTTAAGACCGCAGACACTATGCAACAAACTAGGAGGCAGAACAGAAGCACTAAACATGTTATTAGGCCAGTTAAGTGGAATATCCCATGAAACCATGACCCTGAACCCCTAACCAAGGAACCAAATCCCATGAGGTATTTGGTTGTACATAAGCAGCTTCAGCAGCTACTCTTCTTTTTTTTTCTTTTTTTTTTGGTTGTTGTAAATATATCTATTACACAACTTTTGCAGTTCAGCTATTTACAGGTGTACAGCTTATTGACAACAATTACAGTAATCAGCTGTGCAGCCCTACACTTAATGAATGTGATTTTTCCATCACTGTCAACCCTCCTTTTCCCCTCCTTCCAGCCCCTAAAACCCAAAAACCCGGTTGTGGTCAAGTTGATCCCGACTCATAGCGACCCACTAATAAACTTTGGTCTCTATACATTTGCTTTTTCTTGTCTTCTTGTATAAGTGAGGTCATACAATTTTTGTCCTTTTATGATTGGCTTATTTCACTAAGCATAATGTTGAATCTGACTCATAGCGACCCTGTAAGACAGAGTAGAACTGCCCCATAGGGTTTCCAAGGAGTGGCTGGTGGATTTGAACTGCTGACCTTTTGTTTAGCAGCGTGAGCTCTTAGCCACTGTGCCAGCAGGGGAAATGTGAGTCCTCCTACTTTGTTCTTCTCTTCTTTCTCTGTCTATTCGGGGCCTCTTTCCCTGCCATACAAAGTTGAGGATTGGTTTTTCTATTTCTGTAAAGAAGGCTGTTGGGATTTTTGTCAGTATTGCATTGAATCTGTAAATTACTTTGGGTAGTATTGACATCTTAACAGTATTCAGTCTTCCAGTCCATGAACATGGAACATCTTTCCATTTAAGTTGTATTTAATCTCTTTCAGCAGTGTTCTATAGTTTTCATTGTATAAGTCCTTCATGTCCCTGGTTAGATTTATTCCTTTTATTCTTTTAGATGCTATTGTAAATGGAATTATTTCCCTAATTTCCCTTTCAGACTTCTAATTGCTGGTATATAGAAGCCCAACTGATTTTTGTTTGTTGACGTTGTACCCTGCAACTTTCCTAAATTCTTCTGTTAGCTATAGAAGTTTTCTTGTGGACTGTTAGGGATTTTTTATATATAGGGTCATATCATCTGTGACTAGAGATAATTTTACTTCTTCTTTTCCAACCTGGATACCTTTTATTTCCTTTTGTTGTCTTATTGTTCTAGCTAGGATTTCTAATACAATATTGAATAGAAGTGGTGAGAGCAGGCACCCTTGTCTTGTTCCCTTTCTCAAGGGGAAAGCTCTCAGTCGTTTTCCATTAACTATAATGTTGGCTGTTGGCTTTTCATATACACTGTGAATTATATTGAGGGATTTCCCTTTTAATCCAGTCTTCTTTTGGGTTTTCATCAAGAAAGGGTATTGGATTTTATCAAATGCTTTTTCTGCATCCATAGAGATGATCATGTGGTTCTCTTCCTTTGTTTCATTGATGTGGTGTGTTGTGTTGATTGATTTTCTAATGTTTAATCATCCCTGCATTCCTGGAATAAATCCCACTTGGTCATGGCATATGACTCTTTTAATATGCTGTTGGATTTTGTTTGCTAGTATTTTGTTGAGGATTTTTGCATCTATATTCATAAGAGATACTGGCCTATAGTTTTCTTGTGGTGTCTTTGTCTGGTTTGGGTATCAGGGTTATGTGTCCTTCATAGAATGCATTAGGGAGTGTGCCTTCCTTCTCTACGTTTTGGAAGAATTTAAACAGTATTAGTGTCAATTCTTCTGTAAATGTTTGGTAGAATTCTCCAGTGAAGCCATCTTTTTTTGTTGGAAGGTTTTTTTTCGCTGATTTGAATTCTTCATTTGTTATGGGCCTGTTGAGACTCTATTTCCTCTTGAGTCAGTTTGGGTAGATTGTGTGCTTCTAAGAATATGTTCATTTTGTCCAGATTATCCAGTTTGTTGCCATACAGTTGTTAATAATATTCTGTCATAATTCTCTATTTCTGTTGAATCAGTTGTAATGTCCCCTCTTTCATGTTTATTTTGGTTATTTTCATTTTTTCTCTTGTTGTGTCAGTCTAGCTAAAGGTTTGTCAGTTTTATTGATCTTGTCAAACAACCAACTTCTGGTTTTACTGATTCTCTCTATTGTTTGTTTTTTATTTTATTTATTTATACTCTGATCTTTGTTATTTCATTTCTGGTAGGTTTAGGCTTAGTTTGCTCTTCTCTTTCTAGTTCCTGGCTGTTAATTTGAGATCTTCTTTTTTTATGTAGGTATTTATTGCCAGAAGTTTCTCTCTGAGTATTGCCTTCACTGCATCCTCTAAGTTTTGGTATTGTGCTTTCATTTTCATTTGAATCTAAGAAAATTTGTGATTTTTTTCCTCGAACCATTGGTAGTTTAATAGTGTGTTGTTTAATTTTTGTATGTTTGTGTATTTTCCATGTTTTTTTCTGTTATTGATTTATAGCTTCACTCCATTGTGTTTATAGAAAATACTTTGTATGATTTCAGTCTTTTTAAATTTATCAAGACTTGCTTTATGATCTAAGATGTGGTCTGTCCTGGATAATGATCCATGTGTACTGGAGTAGAATGTATTGTACTGTTTTGCCTAGAGTGTTTTACATATGTCTGTTAAATCTGTGTGGTTTATACTGCCATTCAGGTCCCGTTTCCTTGTTAATCTTCTTTCTAGATGTTCTGTCCAATATTGATGGTGGTGTATTGAAGTCTCCAACTATTATTGTAGTACTGTGTATTTCTCCCTTCAGTTCTATCAGTGTTTGCTTTACATATTTAGGTGCCCTGATGTTGGGTGCATATATATTTATGAGTGTTGAATCTTCTTAATTAATTGACCTTTTTAGCACCATATAATGTCCATCTTATCTCTTCTGACAGATTTTATCTTAATGTCTATTTTTCTGATACTAAGATTGCCACCCCTGCTCTCTTTTTGTTATTATTTGCATGGAATATTTTTTTCCATCTCTTCACTTACAACCTATTTGTGTCTTTGGGTTCAAGGTGTGTCTCTTGTAAACAGCATATAGTTGGATCATGTTTTTTTTTTTTTAATCCATTCTGCCAGTCTCTGCCTTTTGATTGGAGCATTTAGTCCATTTACCTTCACTGTGATCACTGATAAGAAGTGATTTCTGCCATTTTATTATTTGGTTTTTGTGTGTCTGAAGCCTTCTTTGTATTTGTTCTGTAGCACTGTTTGCTTTTGTGTTTTGTTGTTTTATTATAGTGAGCATCTTTTGTTCCTTTCTCCTTTCCTTCTGTGTGTTTTTTAAAATACATTTTCTTAGTGGTTACCATGAATATTACACTTAAGAGCTTGTATTTATAACATTTTAGGGTAAGTTGGTACCAAGTTTAGCAACATACAAGAAATTCTGTATCTGTACCATTTCTCTCCCCCCCTTTTGTTGTTATCACTAATTATGTCTTTATATTTCATGTGCCGTGTAATATAATTTTATTCTTGCGTTCTCTCTCTCTATATGTTATTAAAAACCACGAAGGGCAAAACATTTAGAATTATCGAGCATGAGTATCTTATTACTAGCCCTTATACTTGTCCATGCAGTTCCCTTTATTAGAGATCTTTCTTTTTATGTATAGCTTTGAATTACTTTTTAGTATCTTTTCCCTTCCATCTGCAGAACTCCCATTAGTATTTTTTGTAGGGCTAGTCTGATGGATATGAACTCTCTCAGCTTCTGTTTCTCTGGAGATGTTTTAATTTCACCCTCATTCTTCTTTTTTTTTTTTTTAATTGTGCTTTAGGTGAAAGTTTACAGCTCAAGTTAATTTCTCAAACAAAATTTTATATACATATTGTTACGTGACACTGGTTGCAACCTATAATGCGACAGCATACTCCTTTCTACCCCGGGTTTCCTGTATCCATCCACCCAGCTCCTGTCCCTTCTTTCTCATCCTACTTCCAGACAGGAGCCTCCCATTTGGTCTAATGTATCTGCTTGAACTAAGAAGCACACTCTTTACAATTATTATTTTATGTTTTATAGTCCAGTCTAATCTTTGTCTGAAGAGTGGGCTTTGGGAATGCTTTAGTTCTGGGTTAACAGAGTGTCTGGGGGCCATGTTTTCTGGGGTTCCTCCAGTCTTAGTCAGACTATTAAGTCTGGTCTTTTTACATGAATTTGAGTTCTGCTCCACACTTCTCTCCCACTCCATCAGGGACTTTCTGTTGTGTTCCTTGTCAGAGTGGTCATTGGTGGTAGCCGGGCACCGTCTGGTTCTTCTGGTCTGAGGCTGATGGACTCTCTGGTTTATGTGGTCCTTTTGTCTCTTAGGCTAATATTTTCCTTGTGTCTTCGATGTTCTTCATTCTCCTTTGCTCCAAGTGGGTTGGGACCGATTGTGATGGCCGCTTACAAGCTTTTAAGACCCCAGACACTGCTCACCAAGGTGTGCTACAGAACGTTTTCTTAATAAACTTCGTTATGCCAGTTGCCCTAGATGTCCCCCAAACCATAGTCCCCAGACCCCAGCCCTAGCTCCTCTGTCTCTTGAAGTGTTTGTGTTCAGGAAACTTGTTAGTTTTTGGTTTAGTCCAGTTGTGCTGACTTCTTCTGTATTCACCCTCATTCTTGAGGAATAGTTTTCCTGGGTATAGTGTTCTCGGATGACAGGTCTCCCCCCCCCACAAGAAAAAAAAGCACTTTAAATGTATCATTCCATTGCCTTCTGGCCTCCAGTGTTACTGAGGAGTAATAAGCACTTAATCTTATTGGGGATCCTTTGTATGTGACTGTTTACTTCTTTCTTGCTCTTTTCAGGATCCTGTCTTTATGTTTAATTTTTGAGAACCTAACTATGATGTGTCTTAGTGTAGATCTCTTTGGGTTTATCCTGCTTAGCGTTCTTTGAGCTTCTTGGATTTGTAGATTCATGTCCTTCATTAGAGTGGGGAAATTTTCTGTCGTTATTTCTTCAAATGTTCTTTCTGTCCCTTTCTCTCTCTGTCTCCTTCTGGAATTCCCATGATGCGTATATTAGATCTCTTGTTGTTGGCCCATAATTCCATTAAACCGCGCTCAGCCTTCTTGAGTCTCCGTTCTTGGTCTTCAGCATCTGTGATTTTAACTATCTTTTCCTTTAATTTGCTGAGTCTTTCTTCTGCCTGATTAAATCTGTTGGTGAGTCTTTGTATTATGTTTCTCGTTTCACTTATTCTCCCTTTCAGTTGCAGTATCCTTTTTTAAAAGATCCTCATTTTGTTCTTACATTGTTTTCCTTATTTCTTTTAGCTCCCTCTGTCTGTGTTTTCCCTTAGTTCTTTAATTGTGTTTAATGTTGTATTATATTCTTCCATTTCTTTTTCATTATGTGGTCATCCCTAGATACGCTTTCACTCCCTTTGTCATGTTCATTTGGATGAGCCATTGTTTCTCTGTTCTTTGCGTATCTTGTGATTTTTTTTTTTGGTTGGGGCATTGGAATTTTTGAGGGTGTTAACCATTTCATGCTCACAGGCACCTCTAGTGACCAGGTACTTTTTCTGCCTCTGAACGTTTATTGGGAAGCTGCTGCAGCACTGACGGTGCATTCTGCCGCAAAGCAGGGGCCTTTTGACTGTTTGAAACCAAAGAAATGGGCATGTACTGCAAATTACTGTTTTTATAGGGTATTGTATGAGGTGTTTGAATTTTTGGTAGGAAAAGTAGAAATTTTGAAAATTTTTATTAGTTACACGTATGTACCAATAGGCCCGGTGGGAACTCTAGGGTATAATTAGTGGTACTTCATATGTACCACTAAACAGGTTCGGCTTGTGGAAAGGGTCAAGAAAAAAAATCCATACTAGGTACCAAAAATTCAGATACACTCTGATTCAGCATGCTTCCATTAATGAAACATACGGTATCAAGAACAAATTCAAAGCAGAAAATTGTTGATTCACAAAAGATTTAACTTTCTCACTTTTCCCCATTATTTGGTGTTTTTGCCCGCATTACTCTCTGCAAGAAACTCTTAGGTGGGCAGAGCCTTCGGCCTTTGCTTACTGTTTCCTCTCCCTCTCTGTGATAGCTTCTACTCCCTCTCTGGTTTAATTGGGATTTGAAAGTTCCAGATCTCATTGTTCAACTTTAAATCTCTCCCAAACACACCAGAGAACACTCTGTGGGCAGTCTGTCCACCAGCAGGCACTGCCACTCAGGTGAGATAACATGTACTAATCAATCCTTCCACCAGGGAGCACAGTCCACTCCTGCCTCTAGTTATTACTCCCTTCCTGTCTCTGTTTCTGCAGTCATGATTTTTAGTTGGAAAACCTACACTCAGTGAAGCCTCTTTCAGGGCAGGGTGTTGCCCTCTGGTTTTGCCCAAGGTTCCCTTCCTTGCTCTATGGGGGCTCCTTATGTCTGAACTAGCATTCAGGGGAAGCACGGGCAGACTTGCCTCTGTTTCAGGTGGAGGAGGGGCTGGTACTCCCCAGAAGGACCTCTGAGAGATCTATCTTATCGGTTGCAGAGGCCCAGTGGCTCTGTTGTGGTTGGGGAAGCAGTCTCCATTTAGGTGACCCACCTCCTGACTCTACTGTTGGGAGCCTTCTGTAGGAGTTTGTATTGGTCTAGTAGCTGACATTTACTAGTTGGGGAAGGGTGAAGGTTTTGGGTTTTGGGCAGCGCACACATACTTCGGTTTGTGTGTGTGTGTGTGTATATATATATATATATATATTTGGCCATGTGCAGTCTCTGATTGCCAGGATGCTGCTATGATCATGTAGGGGAAAAGTGTCCTTTTCTAGTAGCTTTATCTTCTAGCCCAAACACATTTAATGGCTTAAAAATCAAAAGTTAAGTTGACATCGTGAGGATAATTTGTAAGTTAGGTCTCTAATTTCAAGAGACAGCCCATGTGTGTGTCTCGTTTGATCTTAGAAATGGAATGATATCAATAATATTGAAGTAAACCAACCACATAAGGTTGTCTTTAGCGTTTCGGCTAGGGTAAGCTGAAAGAAATAGTCCATGTATACATGGATCTCTTGTTAGTGTTACAGAGGCCTTGCTGGATGGCTGATGAACTAGGAGGAACTCGTGTGTAGGCATCCTTTTGGCAGTAGCCTACAAAATTAACAGAAGAAAGGCTGAGCTGCTTCCAGAAATACTCAGCAGAGTGGAAGTTTCACGGGATTGATGGTAGATAAGACGTTAACTTTGCCCCTTTACACACACAGACATACTCTTATTTTTCCAAATGACCAATTTCAGAATAATTTTATGTGAATGCTGTTCTACAGTGCAGATGTGAGCAAGCATGATTATCACATCTGAAACGAGCTCAGTAGCAGAGGAGTCTAGAAGCAGAGGAATTCTTTTCTCCTTGTGGAATAGTTAGCCAAAAATACGTGTTGTAGCATCTGAAAATGACCTGCAATATAATATGAATTAGTTTAACATCTTAACTGCAGTGTGATTTTGAAAGAAATCTGTGTGATATTTCACGGGACTATGGGAGCATCACCACACACAAGCCTGAGGTTTATAAGACACACTCCTCCCCCGCATCAGTAATAAAGACGCAAAGCACAAAATCAACAGATCTCAGTACCATGTGCTCTTAGAAGCTTAATTATATCGATGAGAAGCAAGAGTCCAAAAAAAGATGGTAAGAGGTTCTTGCTCTTAAGTCATTTTATAATGTCATAAGTGATAGTTATGTTTGAGGAATATCATAGAAATTGGCTACCATGTAGGGAGTGGTTTATTTTGAGAGAGCAGGAAAAGAAAGAGTTCCTGGTAGAGTATAGGATGGAAGAGGGCAGGGTCCTGTTTTTCTTGTTTATAGCTGGGTCTTCTTGCCCAGCACGCTAACTGGTACACCAAGTAGGGTGGATTGGATGGAACGGTACTGCAGCCTTCGTAAGGGAAGTCGTGTTTTCCAGAGAATTTACAGGAGCAGCTAAAGCAGAATTTTAATAGAACTAGGAGACTATAACAATAAATAAAATGACAGTAATCTGGTTGGTTATTTTTTTCTGCTGGGTTCTCAAAAAAAAAATTTTTTTTGTGCTAATTTTAATAAACCTAGCCGTCTCTTTAAGTTCCAACATGTCAGTGGAGGAGAGAGTGATCTAGGAATTGTTGCTTTCAAAGGAATTCTTTGATTTTGTGCAATCTTATTTATTGCAGGGTGCTGTTTTGTTACATTTTACACCCGTAAAGCTGCATTAGAAGCGCAGAACGCTCTTCACAACATGAAGGTCCTCCCAGGGGTAAGCAAGCTACTAGTAAATAGAACTGTGGTGGTTTTGACACAGGGAACGTACTTATCAGGAGTGCACTGAAAATCATTTTGGGGAAAAGATGACTGCCACAGGAATTGATGAAAAGGAGGCCATAAAGAGACCATTTCAAAGCAGATAAGCGAAAATATTTTCTCCCATCCAAGAGTCTTGGGTGTTTTGACTTCTTGACTCGCATTCTGTCTAGTCTGGTATTTTGGGAGGACAGATTATGGGGTAGACGTGAGTTCAGAGACAACTCTTAAGGCTCTATTTTTGATATATCCTCAGTAATATTTCTGAGTACCTTCAATATGTGTTACAGTGATAATATTCATATTTTTTCCTTCTTAGATGCATCATCCTATACAAATGAAACCTGCTGACAGTGAGAAGAACAATGGTAAGTAGGCATATTAAGCCCTCTTGTTATTAGGTGTCTGCTTAGTTTGTTTGCTGTTCTCATGGCACCTGGATTGCATTGTTCTCTAAGTAATCTGTTCTCTCAGTTGTCTCCAATTTTTTTTTTTTAAATAAGTATTATAAATTAGAGAAATAGTTGATAGGGAAATATTACAACAGTATTTTAGAACAAACTGGAATGCCCTTGAGAAATATAATTTCTTATGGACCGAGAGTGAGAGGGAAAAATGAGCAAGTTAGGAAGGAGAATTTAGCCCTCAAAAGAATAGTCAGAAAAGGAAAGTGGACGTTTGCACTCACTGACAGGTGTGTTCTGTTTCTCTTGTCACATCAATTAAGTGTGAAAACCACATCCTTCTTTAGTAGGATATTACTAGTAAAAGCAAACATTACTGACTAGGCAGGATGTAAGTGCTTTGCATGTGTTAATTCATTTAATACAACAGCTGTTAATTATCACCATTAATCAGATGAGGAACAGGTACAGAAAGGTTAAGTAAATTTCACCAGATCACAAAGCTACCATATTTCATCTAAATGTTCCCAGTTATAATGGTAAGATACTGTTGATTGTAAGAAGTATTCTGATTTTGGAGATGTTAAATTATGAAAAAAATATATATCTTAGAATCAGTAGAATGTGGTATAAAGGTACAGAGCAGGATTCAAACCCAGGTGGTCTGACTCCACAGTCTGTGCTACACCTCCTCTTTTAGTAATGTTGTTTAAGCCCTTTGTGTTTTACTCTCTTAGCAGTGGAAGACAGGAAGCTGTTTATTGGTATGATTTCCAAGAAGTGCACTGAAAATGACATCCGAGTCATGTTCTCTTCATTTGGACAGATTGAAGAGTGCCGGATATTGCGGGGACCTGATGGCCTGAGCCGAGGTGGGTACATTTTTACCTTTAAAGATACTCATCTTAAATTTGAGTTTCTTTTGAGTTAGACCAGTGGGAATCAGTGATCCCTAGCGAATATAGCTCTCTCAGGATGGAGAGAGTTGGGCCTGCTGCTCAGTGCTGTACACCTACGTCCTGTCCCACCATGGCTCTTCCTACCAGTTAATCTCCTTAGTGTTCTCCCAGCACTCCTAAGGGGTCTAAATTCCATACTTCAGTGTCACGTATTAAAATTCTCTCTTTTTGTGCTTGGAGAGGTTCTTGATGCCAAAATGAAAACACTTCCTTTTCCCACTTCCTTTTTTTCATTTTCAAGAGGAACTAGGGAATGTGATTTCCTCTTTCTTCCTCAAGTACTTCTTTTCCTGTCTGTGATGCTTGGTTTTTCATTATAGTGCTTGTCACCCTCTTGTAACATACCCGTCTCATCCACTAGCTCATGAACCACTGAAGGCAGAGGGACATGTTTGTATCGCTAACATGGTACTTCACGCATAGTAGGTGCTCAGTAAATATCTGTCAGATAAATAAGCAAACGAATGAGTTATTGATTCTTCTCTTACCAGGTTGTGCGTTTGTGACTTTTACAACAAGAGCCATGGCACAGACAGCTATCAAGGCAATGCACCAAGCACAGACCATGGAGGTAGGGAGCAGATGGGGAGAGAAGGAGCATTCGTTCCTTGGCTTGAGAATGCAAGGACAGCTGGCCATCAAAGTCCAGCAGCGTATACAGCATCAAACTGCCCTAAAAGTTAAACAGGCCAATCTGTCTTAAAGTTGAAACCCAGTGCCTTCTTTAAAATTAACATATTGGGAATAGTTGCCGTTTTGCCACTTGTGTCTGTCATGAGGAGAATCATTTGACAATGAATGAAATTAGAATGCAGCCTGCGTGTCACTGGGAAGCAGGATTTGTTCTTTACCCAGAAGGAGAAATTTGACTCTTTGGTTTTGATGTTTTCATAGGGTTGCTCATCCCCCATGGTGGTGAAATTTGCGGATACACAGAAGGACAAAGAACAGAAGAGGATGGCGCAGCAGCTCCAGCAGCAGATGCAGCAAATCAGTGCAGCATCTGTGTGGGGAAACCTTGCTGGTCTAAATACTCTTGGACCCCAGTATTTAGCAGTGAGTCTTTGTGGTTTGCTTTCTGCAGACTGTGCAAGCTCCCAGCTGTTTCTTCTTCTGCTGTCCCTAGCCAACAGGCACAGTGGCATTTACAACTTTTGCATATAGACATTTTACTTAAAAATTCAGCCAACGCAACATTCTTTAAGTCATGTTAGTCTCTCCGTCGTCACATACCTTTGGTTATATCTGGAGGCTTCCACTACAATTAAAGTGAAATCCTGATTTTCTGATTTAAAGACTTGGAAACATCTCATGCGTCTCTGCCCCCAAGGAAGAAAATTCCTGTGGAATTCTCACTATCAGATTATCTTTCTTCATATCTCTTTCTACCAGTTGTAGAGGGCATTATAAAAATCTTGTGTCTTCCCTTACGAGTATGAGTTCTTTCAGCTGATTGAGAGATGAAGAGATTAACATAGACATTATTAAATGGATATTACAAGTGTATTTTGGAGTTCAGTACATCCAAAATAGATTTTCTTTTATTTGATCTTTCTGTTGTTGAGTTTGAGTCATATCGTCCAGAAGAGAGTCAGGCTCCAGTTTGTTATTTAGATTTGCTAGGTCTGCAGTGTATGTTACAGGGGCTTATTACTGCTTTACCCTTAGAAGAATTGGCAGCCAGCTCAAGACATTTAAGACTGTTTCATCTGTAAGTCAGAAAGAAAAGATCTGTGAAGCTACCAGTGAAGGAAAATAAATGGAGAAACCACTAAATTTGTATGGATAGTCCAAAAAAGTATACATCGGAGTAACTAGCATAGCCATTCACTCCTCCTTCTTTAAAATATTATTCTATATAGAAATATAGGAAAGGCAGTGATTTCTGTCCCCTAGCACTGAGCTTTGGCTAATTCGATACCCTCTGGTCCCCATATTTCTACAGTGTTAGAAGAAATCCCAGTTTATCCTAGCTAATATTTCTCTGAAGTCAAGAAGTGTAGATAGTTGAGGTATTTCACGGATGAATTGTTTCTGACTGCTAGATTATTGCTTTTAAGTTCAGAAAAAGTTCAGTCTTCTGCCTAAATAATAACACTTTGAAACTGATCTCCATGATACACTTTTGCTTTTCTTAGAGAGTTTTGGAGCCTCTTAAGGGAAGACTCCCCCTTTTGTCGTCATTACCACATCCAGCAAGGGCTTGATGGTCTATTTTGAGAGCTGTGGTCTCTATTTCAGTTAGACATGCCCTAAGAGCTGTTCTCATTTAAGTAGGAAATGAAGGTGTCAAGTACAAAAGTACAATATGCCCAGGGTATTTAAGAAGACAAAAATGAAGACATGTGGGTGCTGATGGAGTGTGTAAGTGATAGTATGTCATCACTAAGTATGAGGTTCTTTTCTGGAATCTGTGGCCTTGAACCTGAGTTGTACTGGACTAGAGCTGTGGCTCTGCTCTAGTCTTTGTGGGATTGTAGATCCCTTTGAAAAGCCGGTAAAAATTAAGTGTACATGCAGTTTTTTCATTCCATTTCTGGAGGTTTGCAGACCTCTTGAAACCCATCCATAAACTCTGGCCTAGAGGGATCCATGATGACAGAGGTACCAGCTCAGATGTTTATAGGAATGGGCAACAAGAATATCAGTTGTCCGTAAGGAATAGTAATTGAGTTCGAATGGAGCAGATGTCATAAGCAAGGTGGTTAAATGAAGATTGTGGTTTGTTCAGATACAGAGTAAGGTCGTGGAGTTTCATAAACTCATGGATAGGCCCTCTTGTTTAATCTGTTATGCTACAAGCCATTGAAAGAGAATTTATAGTGAAGTTGATATGGATTAATCCATCAATCGTGATCATCTGCAACAGTGAAGACCAATTTTGAAGGGAGGAGAAAGATAGCGCTTGATGATTGTGATGTAGCATGAGAGAGAATAATCTAGTCGTGGGTTCGTTGTGGCCAGTAAAAGGTAACTTAAGAAATACCCTAAAATAGTCAGATCTGATATTTAAAATAGTTGTGTGAGGTAGAAATTGGATATCCAGATGGAAACAATCTGAAAAGTAAGATGTGTGGACTTAGAACTAAGAAGAAGAACTGGGGAGAGAATAACGAGAAATGGCAGCCCTCCATATCCCTTTTGTGCCCTGTGGTACATATAGCGACTGTGAATTTTTTTAGCCTCTGGAGTTTATTGGGAATCTGCTATATCACTGATAGTGCATGCTGCAGCAAGGCAGGGGCCTTATGACTGTTTGAAACTGAAGAAACGGGCATGTGTCACAAATTACTGTTTTTTTCAGGGTATTGTATGACGTGTCTGAATTTTTGGTAGGAAAAAAGAAATTTTGAAAACTTTTATTTGTTATACATATGTAACAGTAGACCCTGGTGGGGACTCTTGGGGTGTAACTAGCGGTACTTCATATGTACCGCTAAACACTTAGGGTAGGCTTGTGGGAGGGGGCAAGAAAAAAAACCCCACACTACCCACCGAAAATTCAGACACACTCAGTGATTCAGCATGCTTCCATTAATGAAAACACATGGTATCAACAAAAAATTCAAAGCAGAAAATAATTGGGTCACTGAAGGGATATGCAGACAGTAATCATAGTTGACTGCACAACTGTTCGAGTTGGGCTTATTTCCCTGCTCTACTCTGACTTCTGCTGTGTTGCATTCTGCTGCTCAGGGACTTGAGCTTGGCTCAGTACTCCGTGAACATACTGTCTTCTGGGCCGGGGCTTTTCCTGTGTTGTATTGTCCTGTGCTGTCATAAGCCTCATGTTTCTGTTGTGTTGGCTTGGGTTCTTGTCTTCGACTTTCTTCTATCTGGGCGCCTCTGCACTCTCGCTTTGCTGTGCTGTAGAGTTATCCCAGATGCAGAACCAGCCCTCACTCTCACTCTTGTTCTGTTTTTTGGTGTAATGTCTAGCTTTATTTGCAGCTCCTTCAGCAGACTGCCTCCTCTGGGAACCTCAACACCCTGAGCAGCCTCCACCCGATGGGAGGTAAGTGTTTGGCTGCCGTGGAGGAGCAGCAGCAGCCAGGCCAACAGACCCAGCTAACAACAGCCTGAAAGTTTTGCAGCATCTACTTGGTGCCTTAAAAGGAGCAGGGGCAGAGTTTTGTACCCTTTGTGTAGAGAAAAAATATTTTCACTCATCGTACAAACCATACGATGAGTGTCCCAGGACTTAACTGCCTTGTCTCTCTGAGATGGCTCCATCGTTAATTGATGCTAGATTGTTGTCGGCTGCCCTTCACCCCTTTTTTATTGGGAAAGAAGATGGAAAATAGCTGTTCACACCTATGGGCTATCTGAGGCCATCCTGATTTGGGGAAAATTGCAGGAACTCTTTATTTCCACAATAAAATTGCTTTTCCAGTGACATTGTGAAGAAAAGCCAAAGATGGCTTCTGTGCAGACGGCTTACCTTGAAGCTGCTAGAACTCAGGCAGTTAGTTTACCTCTGTGTCTTACACATGCTGTTCCTTAGGTGAATTACCTTCTTTGTTGTGGTGGTTGTTAACATGCATGAAAAACTTAAATGACAGATACCTGAGTTTCTAACAGAAAGGGGCTACACGAACAAACCTGAGCCAGGGGCCATCAGAAGGTTGGTGGGGGTCAGGAGTGGGGCAGTTCCAAAGGTGACAGCCCTGCTCCTTCTGCAGTGGGAGGAGGCTATGCAAGTGCATTGAGAATGGGATAGTCTTAGCTGAACTGCATTTTGCTGTTTGAAAATTTTGTTAGTGATTTACTTTGTCCCAGGGAATTATAATAGCTTGCTGTGTTTTTGGAAAGGTGCTAGGTTTAATCTGTATTATAGTTTTTTATTCTCAGTCTTTCCACTCCTTCCCCCCATTCTGCCTTTTCATCAACTAGTAAGTAGTTTGCAATGTATCATCAGCACAGTTCAAATTTCTTTTCTCTTTTTAACTGTGTTGCCTAGGTTCTACTTGGGAGATTCCCCTCCCCCCCTTCCTCCTTCTGATCATTAATCTGCTATTCAAGATTTTCTCTTTCCCTCTTTATTCTTTCTCCTATTGCTGTTTTCACATTATTCTCTCATTCCTCCCTTGACCTTCTAGAGCTCTCTCTGCTACATTTTTGCTTGTTTACCTCCATTGCAAAGAGCAGATCCCCTATAAAGTACGAGTGAGGGGCTTGGACACAGTCCTGTTCTGTGCCACAGGTTTTAGCATTGCTGTTCTCTGGCTCTTGATCCTATGATAGGCCACAGACACACACCCTCTCCTGGTTTTCTGATTGCCCACCCTTTATTAATGCTCACTTGGGGTGGCATGCTGTTGGATTAGATTTCTCTTCTCTCAGGAAACTATGTCAAGTTTCTTAATGAGTTGAGTGATATCTGTATCTCTTTGAAGTGTTGCTTGTAAAGCTTTTATGTAGAACAGGCCCTCTCTGTCTGGGATCAGCCTTCTGCCAGTGTATGCTGTCATTGCTGCAGCAGATACGAGGTACCCCTATCTGATGGCTGATCTCTTGCTTTGGATGTTACAGGGTTAAATGCAATGCAGTTACAGAATTTGGCTGCACTAGCCGCTGCAGCAAGCGCTGCTCAGAACACACCAAGTGGTACCAATGCTCTCACTACATCCAGCAGTCCCCTCAGTGTACTCACCAGTTCAGGTAAGCATGTCATAGGGGCCATTGTGCCATTGTGTGCCATTGGCAGATCCTCTCTGTTTGAAGGCAGAGTCCAAAGAGAGGGGTGTATCATTCTGGAAACTAGTTAACACCCATTTCCAAAAGGTGTTACCACCCACTTATCAAATCTTCAAATGTCATCTTCTGACGTAAGAGAAATCTCATAATTTTTGGTTTGCTATAACTGTCTTTTTTTTTAATGTTCTGCAAGGACAGTTACCAGAATTAGTAACTGAAAGCCTCTTTGCGAATAGAGTACTAGGGTATTATCACTCTGGTGCTTTGATTCCTGTTGACAAGAGAAGGCAAGTGATGGCTTGAGTTTAACTATTGGATTTCTAATAGCAGGGTCCTCACCTAGCTCCAGCAGCAGCAACTCTGTCAACCCAATAGCCTCCCTTGGAGCCCTGCAGACATTAGCTGGAGCAACGGCTGGCCTCAATGTCAGCTCTCTGGCAGGTAAGGGGCAGCCTCTGAATGTCATCAGGCCATTCCTTGCGCAGGTAGCACATTTTAAACAGCCCCGATGTGGGCACCACTCAGATGATTGGGCTGGCCCAATGAAATCAGAAATCATCATGGGAATTCAAGTCAGACCTGAGTTAAATCCTACCTCTGCCACTTAACTGGCTGTAACTTTGGATATCCTTTCTAAGGCCATTTCTCATATATGAAGTGGGAGTTTTAAAAAAAAAAAAACTTCAGAGGATAATTATGAAATTAAATGAGAACATAGGTAAAGTGCTGAGCATGTTGCTTAGTATAGTCTGGCACATAGTGTGTGTTCAATAAATGTTGACTGCTGTTGTGATGACACATTGCATTGGGCAAATCTGCTGTACAAGACTCCTTTAAAGTATTAAAAAGCAAAGATGTCACCTTGAAGACTAGAGTGTACCTGACCCAAGCCATGGTGTTTTCAGTTGCCTCATACGCATGCAAAAGCTAGACGATGAATAGGGAAGACCGAAGAATTGACGCCTTTGGATTGTGTTGGCGAAGAGTATTGAATATACCATGGACTGCCAAAAGAACGAACAAATCTGTCCTGGCAGAAGTACAACCAGAATGCTCCTTAGGAGCAAGGATGGCGAGACTATGTCTCACATACTTTGGACATTTTATCAGGAGGGATCAGTCCCTGGAGAAGGACATCATGCTTGGTAAGATAGAGGGTCAGTGAAAAAGAGGAAGACCCTCGACGAGACAGATTGACGCAGTGGCTGCAACAGTGGACTCAAGGTTAACAACGGTTGTAAGAATGGCACAGGACCGGGTGGTGTTTTGTTCTGTTGTACATAGGGTCACTATGAGTTGGAATCGACTTGCTGGCACCTAACAACAACAACAGCATGATGATAGGGTTTGCCTACGTCTTGTCATAGGCCACATGTGTCCCTTTTAGACCTCAGTCCTGGAACTCTTATTTTACCACATTCTAGCCCTGTGTGAGAAAGTGGCAGAAAAGCCAGAGAAAATGGAGGCATTCATGTATACGTGGTATCACTTCTTCCACAGATTTAAAGAGAACCATGGGGGACAGCCACACCTGACTGTGGCATTTTTCTTAGTGTCCACATTAGCATCAAGGCCTGGTGGGTGTCCTGAAATCTGACTAGTCAGATTGGGTATTCCTCCTCAGGGAGAAGCTAAGAGAGAGATGAGAGGAAGAACTTTGGAGTTTTCCCTTTTCTGGATTGTTCCCTCAGTATACCTGTCTTTGGCACCAGTTAAGTCTTTCTAGCATGTTAATCCTGCTCTTCTCCCCAACCAAGGGATGGCTGCTTTAAATGGCGGCCTGGGCAGCAGCGGCCTTTCCAATGGCACCGGGAGCACAATGGAGGCCCTCACTCAGGCCTACTCGGGGATCCAGCAGTATGCTGCCGCAGCGCTCCCCACCCTATACAACCAGAATCTGTTGACACAGCAGAGTATTGGTGCTGCTGGAAGCCAGAAGGAAGGTGAGTGCAAAGGGAGAGATCGGAGTCAGAGGTGGGGAAGGTTACTCCATCTGTGCTAAAGCTGAATGGCAGGGCACAGGTCAAGAGAACCGTTTTGATGGTTAAACCAACACTTTTCTTAGACAGTGTCAGAGTAGTTGGAGAGACTGCAAATGTGTGATCTGCATTTGGAATGTCTTCTGGATGTGGCACAGGTCAAACCCCTGTATGCTTTCTAGGATGGGGCAGCAGTTTTTAGATGAAGAAAACAAATGCCAGCTTTATTGTGTCTTACACCGTTTGACAAGCTTAAGAATCTGTTTTCGTTAGGAAGTCTTCTCCACGGGTCATAAATCTGTCAGAGGAGGACTTCTGTCCAGGTGACCCGTTAGTGTTTCCCTCACTTTCTGATCTATGCTTCTCTAATTGAAGACAAATTGACGGGTGATGGGACAGAAAGAGTTGTGGCCCATGGGTTGATGGAGTGGGAAGTATGTACTTTGACATAACAATGTTAAATTTAGGAGAGGCTTTCTAGGCAGAAAGGTGTATGTGTAGAAAGTCCTGCTGACACCTTTGTGCTCAGATTTGAGTGGGTTTTTATAATGAAGAGCTGGCATGGTTTAAGCGCTTAATGTAGGAAAGAGACAGGTATTCTCTTTTGCCATAGCAGCAAGGAGTTCTGGTCTAGTCCCTCCTCACCTGCTCTGAATTGGACCTATTTGTGCCCTGAGGATGTGGTGGTGGGGAGTGTCTTTGCCCTCATGGAGCAGACCTTTCAGTGGAGACGACGGGGACAGACAGTAACTAAGTGAAAGCATGAAGTGTTTCAGATGATGCTCCGAAGGATGAGGGACAGAGTGCTGGAGACACTGCATTTTACATAGAGTGGTTCGAGAAGTTCCCTTTAAGCAGAGACTTGAAGGAAGTGAGGAAGCAAGCCTTGAGTTTATCTAGAGGAAAAAGTGTAATTAGGGGAGAGGAACAGCAAATGCAAAGACCCTGAGGCCAGTGTGTGGCTGGAGAATGGCTGGATTATGGTTGTAGTAAAACTGTTCGGTTAGAAAGTCATTGCGTGTAAATGGTCAGAAGAGGAAAACTTATTGTATTTTGAGCCCAGAGTTGATCCTTAAAAAAAAGAGTTGCTGTTACGGCAACTCCAACTTATGGCAGCCGCATGTGTGTCAGAGTAGAACTGTGCTCCACAGGGTTTTCAATGGCTGATTTTTCAGAAGTAGATTGCCAGGCCTTTCTTCCGAGGTACCTCTGGGTGGACTCAGACTTCCAGCCTTTCGGTTAGCAGCCAACTGTGTTAATCGTTTGTACCACCCAGGGGCTCACAAGAGTTGATCCTAGCCACCTTTTTAAAAATACAATTTTTTTTAAATTGAGACATAATTTACATACAGTAAAATTTACCCTTTTTAGTATAGGCTCTATGAGCTTTGATGAATGCATACAATTATGTAACCACCACCATAGATGTTTTTCCTGTTATACTCCAAAATTTCTTCATGCCCCTTTGTAGTCACTCCTGCTCCCATCTCCTATCTCTGGCTACTGCCAGTCTATATGCTGTCCCTGTAGTTTCTAGGCACAATTTTGAAGCCTGTTTAGTTTTTTACAACCTCTGTGCTTCTCTCTGAGCCCCTCATCTCTGGTTTTATTTCTCCTTACTCAAGTCTTCCCACCTTATTATCCCAGCACACCCTCCTCCCCCAGGGTAGAAGTCTAACATCCTTCATTGAGATGGATTTTGGCTAAAAGCAAGGGAAGGAATGTATTTCGGTGATTGCTCTTCAGTTCCCTGCATTGGAGAATCTGTTGAGTGATCCAGATGAACCTGATGGGATTGCGACAGTTCAGCACAGGTGAAAATGAAAGACGGTGCAAGGGGATGAGCGTGCTTGACACTGATACCTTTCCAATCAATGGGTGTTTTGAAGGTCCAGAGGGTGCCAACCTGTTCATCTACCACCTGCCCCAGGAGTTTGGAGATCAGGACCTGCTGCAGATGTTTATGCCCTTTGGGAATGTCGTGTCTGCCAAAGTTTTTATTGACAAGCAGACAAACCTGAGCAAGTGTTTTGGTATGTTGGCTTCTCTTCTGGTGTCGGGGTGGGATTAAGTATTTTACCACTGAAAAAGATGAGGGAGTCATCGCAGAAAGGGCTGGAATTGAGTTTGGGTTATTATTTAACTCACCTTTAGTCACATCACACGACCTCTTTTTGAACCTTTTGTGGTGGAGATGATTTCTATCCACACTGTTGCTCCAAAGGTAAAATAAATATATGGAAAATGGCTTAGAAAAAAACATGTAGATGTCAAGCAGTACCATTAGGAACCTAATTTATTTCATGAGATAGAATTTCCAGAATTCTTGTCCCTGCTGAGAATAGTTGAGATTTGAGATGAAGCACCTAAGGTATCTCTTATGTAAGGAGGACTGAGAATCTCCTTGCCTCGTTATGTCGCTCACCTAGGTTTCTGCTTGGACACACAGGTTTTGTAAGTTATGACAATCCTGTTTCGGCTCAAGCTGCCATCCAGTCCATGAACGGCTTTCAGATTGGCATGAAGCGGCTTAAAGTGCAGCTCAAACGTTCGAAGAATGACAGCAAGCCCTACTGAGCGTGCTCCCCTCTGAGACTGGAGTGAGAGGGTCTTCTGGTAAGTGGGGGAGGAGCACCCTTAATGATTCGAAGCCCTAAGGCTGTGTGTTTACAGCCCTGGACCCTGATCCCTGCCACTCTCGCAGGCACAGCTTGCCCTGAAGACTCGGCTACTGCCTTCTGTGGGAGTTTCGCTTCGTACAGAGGACGAGTTTGTGCTTTGGTTTCCAGTGTTTTACTTTGGAGTTTAGGTGCCATATCCTAAGTTTTTTTTGTTTTTGTTTTTTTTTTCCCTTCTTTTATTTAAAGTTTGCTGTGTTTTGTAACCAGTGTGTGTTGAGAAGGACCAACACCAAACTGCCCCGGGAGAGGGGGAATGGGGAAACATTTAAAAAGAAGATCAGAACTTGCCCCAGGTTGCTACCCCAAGAGAGAGGACTAAGTGGAACAAAAATCTGACTCGCAGAATCTCCCTGAGCATGAGGGTGGGTGAAATGAGAACTGACATCCAAGAGCTGTGGGGGCGCGGAACAGGGCAAGGCAAGTTGGCTTTGAGAAGTGTGGGAATAGCTGACTGACACCAATCTGGGCCTTTGGAGCTGGAGGCTGAAACTCCCCCATAGCTGCCTTCTGTGGAAATACTGAGTTTTTGCCACCTGTTTTTTAGATTCTTGTCCTGCATTTCTGCCTCTCTTTCCCAAGAAGGGGCTAGCAGTTCTCTGGGAATAAAGCACCTGTAAGTTCGCCTGACATATGCAAAAAGCAGTGAGACCTCACCCATTACCAGCTTTCCCAGCCAGCCAGTGATACTGGATTGGCCCTGCCTGGCCAGTGGCTTCTTGGAAGAAGCAGCCTGTCAAAGAGGTCATTTTTTGGTCCTTTTATTTCAACACCAAGTTGTAGAGCATGGCCCGTTTCTAACAAGTCCCTTTAAGGAAGGCCCCTAGGGAAGACACTGCCTGGTTTCTTTCCTTGCAGTTCACCCCCCAGCAAGGAGCGTTGCTTCCCTCTCAAGCCACCATTTTTTCATGAGGGCAAATCCAAGAAGGGCTCACACTGTCTAACTGAAGGAGGCACCTCTCCTGGACAGAGTGATCAGAAGCCATCTAGTTGGGGGAGAAGGAGCCTGCTTCTGGGTGTACTGAATCAGAAAGCCCCTTCAAGCCAGGGTCCCGCATTCCTAGTGGCCAGCACTTAGTATTAAAGAGGATTAAGAAACCTACACTTGTCTCCTTGGTTGGGATGTTGGCCAAGATGTCGCATCACCATAGAGACCTGGCAGGCCCTCTCCTAACCACTTCAGCTCTCGGGGACAGAGGGAGACAATAGGACGTTTACAGCCTCTGTGTGGATTTAGTGTTCATTTACCTCAGTATTACCATGTTCATTTTTGTCCTTGTGCTTACAGTTAGCTCCCTACTGCCTCCCACAGGTCTCGTTCTTGCTCTAGCCTGTGACCCACACAGCCTCTGGGCTCAGCCTCTGCTCCAAGAAATGCCATGGGGGTGGAGAGCCAGGAAGGACATGTTGGGATTGTATAGCTGGGCAGAGATAGCCGTGTTAGCATATGACTATTAGCCAAGGCCAGGGACTGGGTCCCTGGAACCTGAAACCTCACAAACATCAGTCGTAACCCTAGCAGCAAAGATAAGAATAAAAGGGTTGGTTCACTATTGAGTCAGATGGGGGCCATCTCCTTGTCATGCTGTCCATTTGGGTAACAGACAGGGATTGACCATCTTGCTGTTGTGCAGGTAGTTGGTGATGTTGGATTTTTTTCCCCCATTGAAGCTGGGACAGCTGTTCCCTTCTCATGGTGATAACTTGGGTCTGTTGTCCTCTAAGAAACGTGAAACATATACTTCTTAAACTGAACCACGTAAACTTGAATTCTGCACACTGGGAGAAATGTGTCCTGTGTTTCAAATGATAAAACTGTTCCAAAGGCTTCCAGGGGCATGATGGGATTTTTTAAATAAATGCAAAAAATAAAAATAAAAAAGAAAAAACAAAAAAAGAAAAAAATGCTAGGTTGGGGAGGCGCTGTTCTGAATCCCAACCGGCTGGAACCAAGAATGTTGTTTCTATTTTTATAGAAGTTTTATACAGCTCCGGGGTGGAGAATATTTATTACCTAAATTATATCTCTGGAAAAGGCCAGGATTTTGTAGAATCCAGAATGTGATTGTTGTACACACAGGGTGCTGTGTATGATTGAAACTACTGACTTTCTGTGGCCCGTTTGCAGCCCAGCTAATCCGCCAGAGGGGGAAGGAGTTAATGCTGTGAATTGGCGGAGGAGAGAGCTGTGCTCCACAGGGTGCTGCCCATGCTGTGATTGCTAACCTTCTGTTCTCTCTCCCTCCTTGGCCATTGTGTGGTTATCCAAAGCCCAGAGAGCCCTGCTTCCTTCCGCTTTCACCCCCTCCCCCGTCTCACCATTATTTGTCCATGGGTTTGTGCTGAGTTCTGGGCCCTATGAAAGCCCTTTTCCAATGACAAAAGGCGAAGGTACAATCAACCCGCTTTTGATACCAGACTTGACGTTTTGTACCTGCTTGTGGGTTCTCTTTTCTAAAAGGAGCATGTGCCACAGCAGGGTTCTGGGCTGCTAAAGCAGCCAGCTGGTGAGACCAGGCACTTCTCTGTCCTCCCCTGTCCCTGCCGGTGAGTTCGCACGGCAGCAGCACTGTCCTTGAGCACAGTTCTCTCCCCAGGCCAAAGATGGTTTTGTGAAGAAGCTGCTCCCCTCCAAGTCTCACAGTGTGAAAGGGCTCAGCTCAGAGAGTGGAGACTCGCAGTCAAGTCTTAGCAGTCCTTTTCTGTTGTGTGGGGTTTTCACGTACAATGTATTGTCTGCTGTAGTTTTGTTTCTTCCTTGGGTTACATCATGAAATTGATTTGTCCTGAATGCAGCCAGACCACTGTCTCCTGGGTTCCACAAGAGTGGCCAGGGCCTGCAGGGAAGCTAAGAGCTTGGATTTCTGGGAACAAAGCCATCCACATAGAGCTGAGGAGAAATCCTGGCCCTCTCCCTTGGGGAATTCTCCCACCCCAGTCAGCATCTTCTGCTTCCAGCCTGGGACTTGACCAGGGAGTGGGGGAGAGGCTGGGGGGCTGTTGGGGCGCTTCAAGGGGAAATCCAAGCCTTAGGTTCCATTCTGTCTCTGGCAGTTGGATGTCTTCTTGGTGTCCTCCATGTCCTTTTTGACTTTTCCCTGTGTCCATTGTTAGCATGTGCAAAAGTTCCCTGTCATTACCAGTGCCCCACCCCCGCCTCCTCATTTCAGGGCTGTACACACAGTGAGTGTTCCTGTTCTCTCTCTCTTTGTTTGGATGTATTGCTCTGTGTAACTCAGTGGGTCTCCCTCTTTCTGGTTTGTTTTTTTTTCTAGATTCCTGCCGTTTGTTCATCGTTGTGCCTAAAGCATGTCGATGTGGCGTCAAGTACATCGTCCAAATCCCTGTCTCTTCAGCTTCTCTGATGCTTGAACTCTCACCTTTGACCTTGTGTTGACCTTTGATGCTGACGTGTATTTTTATTATGTTTGTTTCTTTCTTTGTTTTTTCTTTCCTTTTTTTTTTTTTCTTTTGTGCTGCCAAATTGGTTTTGCTAGAACGACTGCTGAAGGGGAAATATTTAAACTTGCATTTGAATATAAAAAAATCTATTTTTCTAGAACTTCATAAGATAACCACTTGATTTTGTGATTCCAATTCTTTGTAACTGTCTTCAGAGCAGCCCTACTAGCACATACCGCGTGGTGTTTGTATTTCTGTGAACATACAGCCAGTCCGTTTCTAGGCTTTGTTTCTCTGTGTGCTTAGTTTTAAAGACAACTTTGAAGTAAACAATGAAATAAAAGATGTCACTAAAACCTTTGAGGCTCCTGAGCACATTTTGCTAATATAGTTTGTGGGGCTTGAGGAGACCGCATGTGTTCTTATTTTTGTTCTTCCAAGTTCTCAACTGCAGAAAACACCTGAACTCCCTTTCCTTTTTGACCGCAGGCTGCAGTCTCGGCCCCAGTCAGCCCTTTTCCTTTTTCTTTTGTGGTTCTTCCCAGTGGGGAGCCTTTGGACCCCCCTTGCCCCATCCCTTTGCTCCTGCCCGCATCCCTCTCCATGCTTGTTCCTACAGTCTCCACAGCAAAATGTGATGCTTTGATTTTTTTGGTTTTGTTTTTGTTCTGAGTTTTTTCCTTTCCTACTAAGATTATGCCCAGAAAAAACAAGTTTTGCATGTTTCCTGCTGTTTCTTCACACCTTCGTATATATCACCTTCACCTCTCTGTTTTCTATAGTTTGTGCAAAAACTGACCGATTTAAAAGGGTTTCAAAGAAGCTGTTTTAAAACTGTTGTGGGGTTGATTTTTTTTTTTTTTTTCCTAAGATTGTATTGTTTTATTTTGAAGTGGCAACTTTCTCCTCTATTGCCCTTAGAGTGTTTGCCTGTGCACTTAGACTGTCACTTCGTGGGGCCTCCAGGAGGCTGGCTGCTCTGCTCAGAGAGGGCTGGGAAGGAGCACAGGATGGCATGATGAATAGAGATAGGAACCCAGAAGGTGGCTGCGGGTGGGCAAAAGGCTTAGCACGTTAGAGCTATGAGCACCCCTTAGCCCAGAAGAAGGAGTGCTTAGTAACCACTTATAGGAGGCCACCTGAGCGCTAAGAGGCAGTACACCTGCTGACGCTTTTCCTGGGAGACAAGCACAATACTACAGTCTTCACACTGTTTACAGCCCTGGGCACCAGCCGCCCCCCAACACTGGCTCTTCACCACAGCTCTGCTCTGGCTAAGCTACCGGGGTGGGTTGAGGGCAGGGATTTGGTTTTTAATTGGGTAAAGAGCCAAATAGCTACTGTCCCTGGGTGCCAGGCAAGTCAGTTCCTTGGTTACCTGAAGGGAACTTGCCCACCTCTCTTGTGGCACCACCCAGCCTCAAGGTCTTAGGGGGGCAGGGGGGAGAGGCCAGAGGAAATGAGAGGTCACGGGTGGATCTATGGAGGTGAGAGGCTGAGAGGGAGGAGTTTATGATGGATCCCACTCAGACCTAAGTTGTTGGTGGTGGGAGAGCTAGGGAGTAGGATGCCCTGATTGTCCAGGGAAGGGTGGAGAGGTGTAGCGGAGGGGGTGGGTGGGGAAGGTAGAATCACTGTTTAGCATCATCCATGCTGGGGTTGGTGAAGGATAGGATCCCAGCAGAATTTCTGCTGTGGGACCCAGCAGGTTGCCTGGGATTATGCTTGAGGCCACTCTTACTTGGAGGGAAGGGCAGCCACATGGGGATCCAGGGTATGGTAGGCTGCTCAGTTTCCTGGAAGGGGTGATTGGATGGAAAGAGGCCAGAACCCCCAGCCTGAGTGAGACTGCCATGCGCCCCACAGTCTGACTGCACAGAGCCGCCTCTGTTGGCCTAAGGTGCAGAGGCTCCCCTTCCTGTGTATTGAGAATCCATGTTTGCCAATAGATTCTGCTTTCAATTCCAAGAGGAGCTCTGGGAAAACCTGTGGATAAAACCAAATGCCAAACGTTGGACACTGTTCCTTTTCCTTTTCTCTCTGATTGTTTTAATTGTTCTGTGGTGGTTTTAATGGATTTGAGACCCTGGAGCGGCAGCTGCCTTTCTGATTTCCAGCTGCTTTTTGTGAATAATTTAAAAAGAAAAAAACAAAAAAACAAAAAAAAAAAGAAACTTTACATTTTGAAGACAAACCTGTGTGAGTTTTTTATTGGTACAAACGTTGTATTTAACACTAGGGGTTTTGTACAGTTTTTTGCCTTTTCTACTAGAAAACAATGTAAAGTGATTTCACAATGTGAAGAGAAAAAAAATTGCCACTATGACCAAACGCACAGTCTGTTCTGCAGCAGCAACGGGATTCAATCAACTCAAAGTCGTGATTCAGCCGTAGAAATGCTTTTCCTTTACCTTGTTTGAGCTTTTCCTTTCTTTCCTGTTTTGATTTGCAAAAGAAAATGTCTTTTTGTGTGAACTTGTGTTGTACTCTGTAGAAAATTATGGATTTTACTTTAATGGTTTAAAAAAACAAAAGGCAAGAAGAGCCCTTTGATGCTTTTCTGACTTGATCACAGAGTTTGTGTAGTGGATTAAAAAAAAAAAGTTACAAGTTTGGAGCAAGGGAGTATGTGTTTAAAAGGAATCTCCTTCCTTTTTGTGTGTTTTTCCTTTTGTCCCAATGGGGAACCTAAATCTGTTTTAATTGCACAGACACACGGACAAAAAGTCATTTTGTATCTGCCAAGTGTGGTACCTTCCTTTGTTTATTTGCTATTAAACTGTTTGAGAAGAACTGATTTTGTCTTCAGAGTTATTGTTTGGTATAGACAGCGGGTCCTTGGGGAGGGTGGGATTGGTGACATTCCAGAAGAAGCGGGGTACCCTCGTAAGATTTCTTTGTGAGGTACTTGTTGGTATGCAGGTGAACCCACCAAAAGCTCCCGAAAGAAAACATCATTTCTCCTGGAAAACTGTCTTCCCCACCTCCCTGTATTCCTCTGCAAGATCCCTGCGTGTATGAAAGCACCTTAACTTCTTTGGCAGCCCTAATTGTTTCTCTCCTGTCTGTGCTCAGTAATGGCTGCCCGCCTCATTACAGAACTGCTCCAGACCTGGTAGTGCGGTGCCTTCCCTGGTGCTTTGAGTCCTGCTCCGTGGAGTCCGCAGACCAGTACGCAGTCCCAGGCCATGGCAGTCATTTTCTCTCAGTCCTAAAGGTGCAGCCGAAAGGGGCTGAGTTTCTAGTTCCCTCATTCTGACCTCAGTACAAGGTCAGAGAAGGGCATGTTCCTAAGAGTCCTTCAGTTTCCTACTCAGGAATTCTAAATCACTCTCCAAGGGAAGCATTTCATATTTAGAAGACCTATACCTGGGACCTCCCCAGGCCTCGGAGAACTTGGAAGTTCAGTTCTCCAGGAATCTCTGGCTGAAGTGTGAGCCTGTCTGCTCCTTCCCCACTTCCTCCCTGCTGTCGCCATCTTCCCGAAGGCTTCCCTAGCCTCTCCAGGGTAGACAAGCCCTTTCAAGCTGGTGCCTGTGTAGAGGCATGCGTCTCACATGTGGCCTGTGCCACATGCCTCACATCCCCCGCTGTGTCCCTCTAGGTGCGAATATCTGGGGTAGCATTTCCCAGTGGGCATGCATTGAGTACTAGCCCATGAAGCGTTCCACAGAGTAAGGGCTCTGAACACACATACTTTGGGGAATAATTTTCCACCTTCTAGCTCCTAGTCGCACGTCAATATCTTCATAGTTCTGAGAAGTCTGGCAGTAAAGAAGCTTCTTTGACCTGATTTAACCCAGCATCTCCCAGACTGTGGATCCTTGTTTGATATTGTCCACTTACTGTCCAAAAAAAATTGTGGCAGTTTTGGGATTTAGAACGTTTTGTCTATCAAATTCTGCATTTAAGTGCTGTTTTACTCACATAACTATTTTTATTCATTAAAAATATATTTAAAAGGTTTGAACACGGAAGAAAACATTCTTTGATGGTTACAAGGGTTGACAGGGAGGGAGAGGGCTATTAACTAGGCAGTAGACAAGATTTATCTTAGGTGAAGGGAAGGTCAGCACACACTACAGGGGAAGTCAGCACAACCAAACACTTTGAGGGACAGAGTAGCAGGGGTGGGGGTCTGGGGACCATGGTTTCAGGGGACATGTAGGTCAATTGGCATAACAAAGTTTATTAAAATGTTCTGCATCCCACTTCGGTGAGTGGCATCTGGGGTGTTAAAAGCTAATGAGTGGCCATCTAAGATGCATCAATTGACCCTAACCCACCTGAGTAAAGGAGAATGAAGAACACCAAAGTCACAAGGAAGATATTAGCCCAAGAGACAGAAAGGGCCACATAAACCAGAGACTCCATCAGCCTGAGACCAGAAAAACTAGATGGTGCCTGGCTACCTACTAATGACTGCCTTGACAGGGAACACAACAAAGAGTCCCTGATGGAGCTGGAGAAAAGTGGGGTGCAGAAATCAAATTCTAGTAAAAAGACCAGACTTAATGGTCTGGCTGTGACTGGAGGGACCCTGAAAGACATGACCCCCAGACTCTGTTAGCCCAGAACTGAAACCATTCCTGAAGTCAACTCTTCAGACAAAGATTAGACTGGACTATAAGGCATAAAATGATTCTCGTGAAGACTGTGCTTCTTAGTTCAAGTAGATACATGAGACTAAATGGGCAGCTCCTGACCAGAGGAGAGATGAGAAGGCAGAAGGTGACAGGAGCTGGTTGAATGGACATGGGAAATCGGGGTGGAAAGGAGGAGGGTGCTGTCACGTTATAGGGAGAGCAACTAGGGTCACATAATGTGTAAATTTTTGTATGAGAAACTAATTTGAGCTGTAAACTTCCACTTGGAGCACAATTTTTAAAAAAGTTATATATATTTAAAGATCAGAATTTTGTATTAATCTGCAGGAATTACCCTAATATCCATTGACTGTTCCTCACAACCTGGGTGCCCAGGGAAAGGCTTGATGCACGGTATGTGTTCCAGTGTTCTTCACAACCCTGGGAAGTAACTACTGTTACCACCCCCATTTTACAGATGAGCAAGCTGAAATTGGGTTGCCTGCACAAGGTCACAGCTAGAAGGTGGTGTGCGCTGAGAATCAGACTGGGTCAGCCTAACTCCTGAGCCTTTCCTCTTAACCACTAATGAGTAGAAATATCCCAGTAAAAGCAGATAAACATGCTTTGTTAACCCACATGGCCTCATCACAGGTGATTGCACCTCTTGGCTCTAGTGAAGGGAACGTGGGGAAACCTACGACTTTCATGGCTTCCTCCGGGACAAATCATTGCAGCTTTGTCCCCCTTAGGTCTACCATTTCGATGCGCAAAGTGTGTTCAGTAGTACCTCAGCTGCTAAACATCCAGCCTCTCCACACTCAATTCTTTCCAGTATCTGGTACCACCTAAGCGTGTCTTTACCTAACGCTGTTTTAAATCAACATGAAACACCTTTTTCAACTTCACCTCATTGTAACTATTAAGAGGTGTGATATAACAAGTTGGGTATACCAATTGTATGTTTTAAAATACACATTAAATTGCATCACCGTTCATGTGTAAAACGTCCATCTCAAAGAGTTCTGTGTTTGACGCTGGGAAATCTGTAGTGGAGGGCCAGGATGGAGAGTCAGGGGGCTGTTTACTCTGTAAAATGAGAGGGTGGCTAAACTTTAAGTTCTCCTATCTAGCAAAGAATCTCCATGACTTAAGGTCAAAGCGGTGGCTCTTGTCTGTAAGCCATTGCTTAGTTAGTACACCCATGTTCCTAAGATACAACGTCATGTGAAAACAGAATAAGTACAATGTGAGCATCTCTTATCATACTTAAGGCTATTGATTCTTTGACTTTAAAACAAAAAAAGATTATGCCAAGAATAACGTTTTTAATAAAAGTATTAATAAAAGACTTTTGCATCTTTATAACCATAACAGCATCTTAATTTAAGTGGTTTGTGTTCCTTTTAAAACACCACGTGCAGTCACCTTCATCTTTCTGTGGATTTTTTGGCACCACTTGTATGTCACGTTTTGTGGCAGAGGCAGCCACTGTGTTTTCTCGGTCAGCATGCAGTTTCCCCAGCTCTCCTCGTCACTTACCTGCTGTGCTCACCTGAGTGTCTCAGGTCCTGATGAAGACAAGCCATGGGGAAGGAAATGAAAGACGAGGCTGTCCCTTCACCTCTGGGAATGTCAAGCTAATGTCTGATAACATTTCCCTTCTGAGAGGGAGTAGAAATGGCTTTTTCTTGCACCTTCTGCCTTTTTCAAACATTTTTCTTCCCTCTCGGGACCCTTTTCCATCTGGTGTTTAATTTCTTTGCACACATTGACTTTCTTTACTGGTAAAGGCTTCAGTTTAGGGAGGGTTCTCTCTTTTTAATCTCAAAGTCACAGTCTTGGGATAGGAAATGGGGCGCATTCAACTGTGCCATCCCCACACCCTACAGAGGTCAGTCTATAAGGTGTAACCCTGCCCCCATCCCCCTCAGCCGGAGGGGAGTTGTCTCACTAACCTAAGGCCTCCTGACGTTTAGTGGGATTTGCTTTTGTTTAAACAGCTCTATTGAGATAGAGAAGGGTCCCTGGGTGGCACAAACAGTTTGTGCTCAGCTACTAACCAAAAGGTTAGTGGTTCGAACCATCCCACCGGCACCGTGGAAGAAAAGCCTGGAGATCTACTTCAATAAAGATTATAGCCAAAAACACCCTATGGAGCTCTGACACACGTGAGATCACCATGAGTCAGAATCAACTTGACGGCAACAGGTTTGGCTTTAAAAATTTTTTTTTTTTGCCGAGATGTAATTCATATACCATACAATTCACCCATTTAATGTGTATGATTCATTAATTTCTAGAGTTGTGCAAGTATTGCCACAACCTAATTTTAGAACATTTTCATCACTCCAAAAAGAAACCTTGTACCCATTATAGCAGCCTCCCACCCCCCAAATCTACATATCTAGATTTGCCTATTCTGGAAATTTCATATAAATGGAATCTCATGTGGCTGTTTGTGTTTGGCTTCTTAACCTACTCTCCCAAGTTTTTTCTCCTTTCCTCCTTGTACTTGACAGTTAGCTGTGCCACTATCCTCGTATCACCTGCCCCTGCCATTCCTAGCCATTCTTTTTTTTTTTTTTTAAATAATATTTAATCGGGTGGTCAACATGGCAGAGTAGTTAGACACTTTCTATATTCCTCTTACAACAAAGACGTGGAAAAACAAGTGATTTGATTCTATGTGAGTATCTGGCAGCCCTGAACAAGGCAAGGTTAAGAAATCCATCTGAGTGATACGGGAGAGGGAGACCGTTTGGAAGAGGTGAGGAGGGCTAGAGCCATGGCGGCGAAACGGCAGCGCCACAGCCAGCCGTCCACAGTGAAGCAGGCAAACAGCTGTGCTGTGCGCGCACATGGGAAGCAGTTTCCACATCGAGAGAGATCCGGCAGCAGAGACTCTGCTTGGACACTCCGAACCAGTGAAGAGCAGCTCCCAAGAGGCTAGGATAAGTACATGCGTGCACCCTTTTGCGGGGATTAAAAAAAAAAAAGCCCATTTGGGAAAAACTTCTCTCCCTTTTACCTCATCCCTCTGCGCTCTGCACCAGGAGTCCGCTGGGCCGGAAGTAGATCCCAACAGGCGCCCTGACCCATTCTTCTGGCCTTGGAGAGGGAACAAGCTGCTGGCTCCTCTAGGCCAGGAACACAGGGTTGGCACAGCTCCTTTGCTGGCCACAGGTATCAAGAGTCTGTAGACTCTGAG